TCTGGGTTTTAATTGAAGAAGTTGTGACAAAGAAAAGGTTTAATGTATTTTTCTATATTTAGCAACATGGTGTATTCTACTGGAATAATGTGAAAAGGAGAAGGTGTTTTTCTGGCATTCTCAAAGTGCCTTAGCCATCTGACTGGTGAGTCTATATGAAGCAGGGTTGGACTTGTCCACTTGGATGCCGGGGGAAGCCCCGGTGGGCCGCTGATATCTCACTTACAATGGGTTACTAATATAAATTGCAGTTGCTGCTACTTAGCTACAATAAAAATATATGGAGGAAAAATTATTTGTAAATTAAGATAGTGGGTATCATAGAAATATAAGTTACATATTTACATAATATATAATTTATTTATGTTATAATATGTCGTACATTGTATACGGCATTAGTATTACGGTGTTATATGCGCGGCGACGTAATATTACGTTATTATGACATCTGATAACGGATTTGCTATTGCACTTTAAAAATAGATTGGTCTTATATTTTAGTTGTTCAGCTGTTAAATATAGCCTTTTGGTTATCTATGTCTCGAACAAAAACAATAATATTTAAGCGATAACATTGATTTTGAATTTAAATAATTTAAAGTAAATGCTGATACTGTTATAGCTTCATGCTTTTTACAATTAAATTAAAATATTTAACTAGTAAAACTCAAATTGTTATTTGCTAGAGAAAACAAACTGCAGCTGAACAGTGCATAATCTTAAAGGTCGGTAGTAAGTTATTACTTATTACTTTATTAGGTACTAATACTCCTGTAAATCACTTTTGGTAAATAATTATAACTTGCTCAAAATTGTACTTAGTAGCTGAGCTACTTGATGTTAAACATAAAATTGGATTCTTAACTGAGTAATGTGATTAAGTAAATCTTTTTTTGTGTGTCAAAATTGTATTAAAGATACTTAATGAGTTTCAAATTTTTTAAGTACCAATATTAATATACAACAATATATATATATATATATATATATATATATATATATATATATATATATATATATATATATATATATATATATATATATATATATATATACACCCAAAAGCATGGTCGAAGTAGGTACTTCTTTACACATATTTTCTAATTTAAACTAAAAAAATTGAAACAATATTATATTCCAAACTCAATAGTGGGGGGAATAAAAGTAAATATTTAGCAAAATAGTTCAAATTGTGATACCAGCTTGAAATTTTCAGGAAGTTGTCTATAAATTAAAAGAATTCAAAAAAAAAAAAGACCACATTCTGAAAATATTTTTTTGGTCCTGGGGCGACCTCCAACTGAGTTGACTGTAAAACTATAAAATCTTCTGAACCGATTATATAAGGTTGCATTAAGCAGAATTTTAAGAAACAACAAACAACTATACCACATTACTAATTAAAATATGATTAAAAGCATAAAAAAAGTTTTTTTTATATATTTCAGAGTAATGGAACTAATTTTTTTTAAAACTTGTTAACAAAAATGAGGTTTGTTCATTTTATTCAAAACACTGACTAGAACACTCGCATAGGTCTGTACAGGATAATCCTGAACGTTTGCATTTGCATTGCGTTCCGCAACTTTTCTTGCATCTACATTTTATTAACTCGATGCATGATTTTGATTCCTCAAGTAGAGTCATTCACAAAGGTGTCATTGCGTTATTTGTTTTTTTCCAAACCCATTTAGTAGCTTTGGGTAAAATCTGCTGTGGCACCAAGGATTGTCCCCATATAATACTAAATAAATAATTATTTGTAAGTATCATTTTTAAATATTTGATTCAATAAAATTTTTTGAATAGAATAATAAGTCCATTTAAATATTTAAAAAAATATGAACCTTCCTTGAAACACAGCTCTTTTTAAATGGTGAAAGAGTGCATCTTTTGTAGGTGGTAACCCTTCACTCTGTCGTGAATTTTTAGTGAACAGCATTTTTCGGCATACGGTGAGGTCAGTAGTGGAACTTGTTTTATCATAAAGTAGAATAACGTAGCGCTCAAACTTTAGAAATGTATCAGGTGAAATAACTCTAGTGCTTGGAGATGACAAGCTAAAAAATAAAATAAAACCACATATTGGACTAAATTTGCACAAAAAAAGCAGCCAATATGAAAATGATTTTAGAAGTTAGCAGCAGAAGCTAGCAAATCTAAAATTACTGCCTTTTTATACTATTTAAACATAGGTTAGCTAGGTTACTGCAAAATGCACTAATAATTTCTTTATATCCGTTGCATTTCATGCAAGTTTTTTTCCTCGTCCTGCAAATGATGACACGGTATCACAACAAAATCTTTTACAACTTCAATAAACTCTAATACATGTTCATTATAATTCTTTTCAAAAACAGGTGTATCTTCGTGATGACTCTTTTCATTATCTTTTTCTTCTTCTCCAAATCCATCTAGAAGTTCAGCAAGTAATGGATCACACACCATCCATTTTATCAACGCACTTGGGCTATCTAAAAAGTCAGTTGAGCCGCCATCT